CTTTGGCCAGTTTGGCTGTGCCCCCTCCCAGCTTCTTGTGCACCTCCAGCCTTCTCAGTCGGTAGAGCATGGAAAACTAAAAAGTCCTTGGCTAGTGTAAGCATTACCTAGCAACAACTAAAACATGGGTGCGTTATCAGCTTTGTTCTCATCCTAAATCCAAAACACAGCACTGTACCAGCTACTAGGAAGGAAATTAACTCTATGCCAGCCTAAACCAAGACACACGCAAAATCTCTCTTCTGCTCATTCATTTAAGCTTTGGGAATATGTGAGACTTGATCCCTGGAGAAACCTACAGGTTCTATAGTAATACTTTGCAGTTCATTGAGGCTGAGAGGGTGGATATAAAGGGTAATATGTACTCAATAAGTAGAATTGGCCCTGGGAATGTTCTCTACCAGCAGTCACCAGAAAGATATTGAAGAAAAAAATTTGTTACAGCTTTTTTGACTTTGTATTTCCATGTGTTTCTCTGATCATGTGCCTTTTTTTCTCAATAGATTAGAGCTGCTAATCTCAGTGGAGACTGTACACTGATGAATGAAATAGCCAGGTTTAAATTTGGATTAAAAGGACACCATCAGGTAAAGACTGTAGATGTTAAAGTCTACTGATTTGTTATGAGCCATCTTCACGTACTTGATCTCAGCCTTCTACACTTTCATAGCTGAAAACAGCAGAGAAAGAAGTAGATGCCATGGACTTGCTGCTTTCTCTTAATTAACCTTTAATACCCTTTAATGATTCATGATAAATTTTTTTCCACCTTGTTATTTTTGTTGGAGTGAAATTCCTGAATACTTAGTCATATTGTAGAGCATTACCACTGACAATGGATGGTTAATAAGAGTGAAACAAAAAAAAGGGTTTGCAGGAGATGCAGTGGGAGTACCTTACCCACTATAAATGGGTAAAACTCTTAAAGTCTTTGAAAACTGGAGGAAGGAGAATGACAAGGGTTCTAGATAACCATGTGTGTTAAGTCTTAGAGGAATTAATTTTTGAATAGTAATGAAGACTATGGGTTGAGTCGCAAGTAGTTGTTCACGTTAGAGTGGCAGTTAGCTTGTAGCTGGGGATGTTTACATCTTTTTTTATCTTTTAGTAGACAAACTGTGTAAGCAAAAGTTGCCATAGAGAGGTATCAAAATGAAGGCCAGTAGAGGAGTCATTCCTTTATGTTTTATAGCATTTCAATTGGAAAAGTACTAACTGGTATTTATGTCTGTTTCTTTCTGACATATTTTCTCTTGTGTCCAAGTCAAGTTGTACAAATACTTGATACCTACAACAAATGCCAGATCGTATTTTAATTCCTGTTCTAAGGAATGTCTTTTACTTATTTGATGGTTTATTTGCACATGGAAAACTAAAACACATAGTTAACACAGGATGGAACAAAAATGTACTTTAATGCAGTACTAATAAGTAATAATACAGGCATTGTTTGACTCTTCTGTGATACAAAATTATTGTGTATGTAGTAGGAGTTAATACTTGACAAAATCTGGAAAAGAATTACTTATACTAATAATGACAATTTTTTCTTTATCTAATTCCCACTTTAGACTTGTGTACGAGACAGAGCAATTCGTTCCATTCTGGCTGTTAGAAAAGTTAGCAAAGAAACGGCAGAAAAAGCTGTGGATGAAGTTTTTGATGCCTGCTTCAATGATCTGGAACCTTTTGGAAGAATTCCACACAGTAAAACAGATGCAAAACGTGCTTACAGAGACTTTCAGAACAGAGATCGCTATAATGCTAATTTGTAAAGGAAAAAAACATGAAAAAATGTTACTGTCTGATTGTTCTGTAACATCTGGAGTTACAGTCTACGCACACAGTGCTGGTGGAAAAGACAATTCTATCAAATGTATCAGTTAATTTTGTAAACTTTTCCCAGGAGCCAACTTCCATGGAAGTAAACAAAGTAAATGAACAAGGCTGAAAAATGTGTTTCCTCACCTGTTATTCCAGTAAGATAATTTAGTACACCAAATGACTTGTCAAATAATGATCTGCACATTTCAATGCACATTTAATTCTGCTCAGTCTGACTAGGACTTGGTTTCTAAAAGTTTTGTTGTTACTGAATAAATCTTTTCATAAAATCTTTACATTTCCACCATCTTTGATACACAGTCATAAACTTGATGATCTTCATCACTCCATTTTAAAAGATGGGCACCTGAACCACAGCTCTTGGGTCTAGATCTAATAACTATGGCTAAACCCAAAATTTAATAAACTGCCACATTAGTTTTTGAGCATCTCCTGAAATTCTTGGAATTCCAGCTGATCTAATGGTAACTTCACAGGTACATTAAACCCTTGGGCTTTTTAGGAATTTGACTGACAATTCTGCTTACCAGATCAAACCTACAAGCTAGACAAGCATTGGTGAGAGTGTCTACCAGGTTGAGCTTTGCTCAAAATGTTGGTGTAGCTTATGGTCTTCTTCCTATACTTGTTAGGTAGGTAAGTCCATCTGAGGAAAGCAAGAAGCTGCTAGCTTCATCCTAAGTCTGAGAGAAGCTGTCTCATACCTTATATTTGGAAATAACAGAGGATTTATTGTCATGGGTGCAAGAGAACCACGTTTTCCTCTCATTCTTGAAATTAAAGGTGTGATTCAACCACAGGTAGGGTTCACTGACGTAATGGAGATGTGGGTCCCCAGTCAAAGGTTTGTAGGCATAGCTGCTGTAACAGTTACTGGATCCAGACTCAAGTGGGAAATTTAGTTCCACAAAAGATTAAATGGTGCCCCGATTTGTTACTGTTTCATACGAAGTGCAAAACATTTTAGACAGGCTTTCAACTTCATAGGATGTCAAGGTCTGAGTAGTGGTGGTGGTGTCAGTTTTCCCATGTCAAGTGGTTCACAGCTGCAGAAGCATAGAATTGCTGAGGTTGGAAGGGACCTCTGGAGACACAACTGTTTCAACCATGCTGCACAGAGAAGCGTCAACTAAAGCATGTTCCTGAGGAGCGTGTCTAGTTGGGTTTTGAATATCTCTAAGGATGGAGACTCTACAGCCTCTTGAGATAACCTGTTCCAGCATTTGGTCGCCCTTGCAGGTTTGGGGTTTTTTTCCTCCTTGTGTGTAAATGGAGTTTCCTGTGTTTCATTTTGTGCCAATGTCCTCTTGTCCTTTCCTTTGGCACCACTGAGAAGACTGGCTCAGTATTCTCTAGAATACTAGATTGTTGTGTGTTCACATTTATTTGCATTTTATTTCTGTTGTAGTAATCCTGTATTTCAGAATTTCTCCTGGTCATTGGCAAAGTTTGTAAAGGAAAGGGCCATTCTGCCTCTTTCATCCTTTCCACCCCGAAAGATGTATAACTGGTTTCCAGTTCTTCACTGCCCTCCCCTGCAGCACTGGGCAGGCCACAGTGATAGGCGGAGTAAGGTTGAGTTAGGACGAGCTGATGGATTTGAGATCTTAAACCCTTTTAGTGCCACCTTGGTGTATTTTACTCACATGCTCGAGGTTAAATTAATCACCAAATTTGAGATCAGAAAGGAATTTTTCCTTGATTAATTTGATAGGGATTACTGGTATTTCTGTTGAGCAGCTGGACGCTATTTCGTGCTGTTCAGCCACTAGCGTATGGCTTTACGTTTGCAGCCTGCTATTACTGCTCTGAACGAAGAGTCCTGTGTGACAAGCCCAGTGCTGAGCTAACCTGTGACAGTGGCAAGGCTGGGTGAGTCTGGTCCTCGGAAAAGAGATCTGAAGCAGGCAATTATGCCTGTGCAGTATGAGCTGCCCTGCACACTGGTGTGTTAGTAGGGAATTAGGCTTCCTGAGCCTGTAGTGACCACTGGGCCAGTGGCCAGTGAGAAAGGCAGACCTGGAAGGAGCAGCCATCTCAATTGCCTGAGAATTTCATGTTAAGCGATGGTCCTTTTTGTTGCAGGGATGAAGCTTATTGGCGTGACCTCAAATGCTTTCTCCTCCCCACCTGTGGCACATTTGTTAATAATGGGAAAGCTTTTATGACTTCAGTCCTTTGTGTCCTGAATTGCTGCTCATGTTCTGGTTGTCTCTGGTGGTGGAGGACTGGGCATGGTGGTGGTCAGTGTTGCTTTCTTCTGTTCTGTGTCCCTAAATATTTTGTGACAACGAGATTGTCAGTGTATGAAGCTTATGAAGCTTTCTCAGGCAATACATAACTGCGGGATTTGGCTGCTGTGGGGCAGCAGACTCCCTGGTGAGACTTGAGCAGGAGTGAGGCACTGAACTGCTCAGGTAAGGGAAGGTCAGGACATGCACAAATTTTAAGTGCCTGCCAGACTGTAAGGCTGGAAGGGGAAGGTCCTCCCAAGTACCTCCAGAATTAGGCAGCCTCTGAGGGACTCTTTTTTTGACTGCAGCTTTGGGCTCCTGCAATCCACCTATTTATTCCACGTGCCTACATCCTTTGGATCTGACCGTCATTCTGTAATGTCCTCCTGAGAAGTATTCAGTCATGTAATAAGTCTCCAGTCCCATGGGCCTGCTCCTAAGGTGTCACTCAAGAACAAGCTGCATGAAGAAGGTGACAGCAAAGACAGCTGCTTCCCCTGTCCCCTGAGCAGAGCCAGCAGTGTGTCGCCATTTCCTGAACGGCAGTAAACACTTTGAAAAGATTCAAATGTAAGCACTGTCCTCACAAAGGACAAAGCGACACATCCAAACAGTGCCTGAGAGATCTGATCAAGCCTGAGTTGTCTGAGTTGTTCTGTTCATGTTGGATTACGGGTGGATTGCATTTATTCCCAGGTGTAACATAGTACGTACCCACAGGTACCATTGCTTTTGGGGCTAAACAATAATGCAGATCCCTCGGAAAGTCATCCTAGATGTCTTGGAGGAAGTAACGTCTTGGCAAAGATTCCCCAAACCTGCACTTTCAATAGTTCTGCAGAATTTCAACTGGAGATTTCATAATCTTATTTTCTTGGGGTAATTCCATCAGTGACTGACATAATCGCATGGCTGAATATGCGAACAGAAAAAAAATGGATATAATATACCTATGGAGAAAATTACACATTGAATTATGAGCTTCCCATCTTTGATGTAATCTAGACAGACCACCTGGGTTTTCTAAAATCCTCTGAGGATCAGAGATGCCTTGGAACAACATAATCTTGTGTGTTAATATTCCCTTAACCTTTACCGCTTTTCAAATCCCCGTTTTAGTCAGTATGATGTATGATGCTGAGTTTTTTATAATACTTCTCACACATATTCTGGCAGATAATTCCTTCCCTTCATTATACCTTATTAACCAAAGTTCTACTTTAATGAATATGTGTGTTTGTGTGGTTTGCATTTTGACCAACACATTGTTTGAATACATACAGTTGTCTGCTATCTGGGATAAGCTTTGTCAAGTCTATTTAGAAATGGAAAATATGGCAATAAAGACTAGAATATACAAGCATACATGCTGCTCCTTCTTTTCTTTAGCATTGTTGATAGATGAACACCATCAAAATCTGGAGACATCTGAAAGAGACATTCGTAATAAAGAGTACACTGAGATATATAAAGATGTAATTATTTTAAAAAAATGATCAGTATGAAATAAAATTGCATAACCAGGAAATGTCAGCTTAAGCAACAGCTACGTTCCAGTTAGTTACATCAAGTCAAATTGTAATGGCAGAATATATGCACTACAAGTCACCAGAAAGCAATCAGAAGAGTCCCATGGGCTTTTTGTTGTTTCCTGAGAAAACGAGGGACAATAATTACATGAAACTTTGCACACACTGTGTATCAGTTCAAGCAATCATTTCACTGCTTTAGGTGCAATTTTAATCTGCATCATTTTTTCTCATCAAAACAAAGGTTAAAAAAAAAAGAGTAAAAGCTCATTGCAAATATGAAAACTATGGGACTCGATTAAGCAGCAGAGGGAGCTGAAGGACCATGGAAGTGCGTGCTGCTGTGGAAAACCACCTGCAGACCGTACACAGCTGTTGCTCAGTTTGCAGTTCAGTTTTGGTTTAAATCTCTGTTTTAATCAAATTTGCATAACTTTAATGTTAAAATAAGTTAAAAATTAAACATATTTCAACTGCATTGTTCTGCTTCTGCAGAATATTTGCTTCCTTTAGAAAACCACCTCAAAACATTTATGGAAACATTTTTGCCATCTGTGCTGTTTTTGGAGTGTGACTGTTTTTGCAGAGGCACTTAGATAAATGCTGGGGTGCATGTGGCAGACCAAAACGTGAAGCTATAAAAACCCATAGTTTTGGTTTAAATCTCTGTTTTAATCAAATTTGCATAACTTTAATGTAAGTTTAAGTTAAAAATTAAACATATTTCAACTGCATTGTTCTGCAGAATATTTGCTTCCTTTAGAAAACCACCTCAAAACATTTATGGAAACATTTTTGCCATCTGTGCTGTTTTTGGAGTGTGACTGTTTTTGCAGAGGCACTTAGATAAATGCTGGGGTGCATGTGGCAGACCAAAACGTGAAGCTATAAGAACCCATCATCAGTAATCAGAATCACACAAATTACATCAATTCCTTATTCTTCATGCCTGAATTTTCTCTTATATCTGAAAGATTTTGAAGTTTTGACAAAACTGAAAAGAAGGAAAAAAAGAGCATCATTGTCCAAACAGTGAAGAGATAATTTTACAAAGGAGAGTAATTTAATAAAGAGTCTTCAGGTGTTTTCTTTTTCCTGGGGAAGAAAGACTAGCTATGACATACCTCGCTGAATAGTTCCTTGGCAGAAGTATTTTTAAAGTTTGTAGTACCTAGCTCTCAATTGCATGGATGTGTGTCACTTACCACAAGAGCCTTCATGTGTTGATTGTAGTTTTTCAAAACTGTTTTAGAGAAGAGTAACATTTATAAGTGAAAACAACAAAATAATCGGTAAGCAGAAAAATCCAACTCTGATATAATGAAAAGTTCAGAAGTTTTCAGGGCATGTGCAAGGGGTCTTACCTCTTGCTAGAACTGAAGAGTTCAATACCAAGAGTTTATTATCCACCAGAACTCCACCCAAATTCACTAACAAGCATTCCTCCTCTAGCTTGCCTGTAAGCCTGATCAAAAAGAAAACTAGAAAACAAAGATTTACATCATCTTTTTATTCAATAGGGGTTTTTTGTTGTAGCTCTTTAATGGGACATGAGAAATTCTTTCAGAGCTTGGGACAGAATGAAACCATTACTCTCACTTTCCTTGAAAAGAAGATGGAAAGAAGAAAAAGGAGAAGAAGGGCATGCACAAGGCACTCTATGTGCTGGTGGGTAAGGAACCAATATATGAAGAGAGATCTTGGTTTCAGCTCCTGCTCTACTGAATGCTAAGCAAAAAGTATTGAAGTGCTTGCTGGATTTACACCCATGCTCCCCACTCACAGGCATCAGCTGGGGAAAAGGCTGTAAACAAAGCAGGGCTGGGTGACAAGCTGGGTAGAGTGATGGCTGCAGAGGGAGCAGGAAGCCTTTGGTACCCAGTAACTTTGGTTAGTTCCCTTCCCTCCTTCCTAGTGCAAAGTGGAGCAGCCTCAGGGACACCTTTCCCTCTCCCCAAAATGCTTCACAGCTGAATGTTTTTCCTTCATGTCCGTTTTTGTCCTGCTGTTTTCTCCTTGTTTGAGGGAGTTTCCTCTCAACGAACACATTGCACTTGTCCCTCTTTCCTCCTCAACTTCCTCCCATGTGTGCGTGTGTGCAAGTAAAAGATGCCCTTTCTTCCTTTCCTTTCATTACTAGTTACCTCCTTCTCCTCCCACTGTGAATCTCCAACACACAGAAGGGAGAAGGGAAATGAAATTGTACCTGGGGAACCAATCTGCTATGTTACATGTGTGAGAATGAGGAGTATTTCATCCCAGTGTCCTCTTTCAATTTCCACCTCCTAATCCCACAGCAGTGGATTTTACTCTGATTGCTTCAATCTCGTCTGGTAGGAGCAAGCTGGGAGTTCCCAGGGGCAGACTGTGAATGAGGAGGTGAATCCCCTTCCCCCCAGTGCTATTTTTACAGAGCTTCCTTCTCACCTCTGGTCATATGCCCATGAATAAACCTAGACATGTGTATGCATCTTGACTGTGTCTCCCCCACTCCTCCCACACCCCAGCTCCTGCAACTGTCCTCCTCC